GCAAATTATAACAAATAATAAGCAATTCAATCATATAAAAGCAAACATAAAATGCAGACAAACTGACATTCATGCAGTAGCTATTCAGCACTGTAAGAATGTTAAGCATTCATAACCAAATCAAAGGATATGCAACAAAAATATAAAAGCCAGAGTATATATGATAAATATATGTGCTACACCTTACTCAGAATTGTAGGAGGAACACTGACACGAGCTGCCCTCCAATTCCCTTCCAAACTTTTAAACTTACCCATAGGCATTTCTTCCCTCATCTTATTCGGCAGCTCGTTCCAGAGTTTGGCTCCTGCTATCTGAATGAGTGCAGCCCATGAGTAGTTTTCCTTACCCTGGGAATATCGGCTATATTGTCATTTCTGAAAGATTAACCACCGTTTTTAATTTCAATCAGAGCATGTGTACAGTGGACATTGTTTATTAACAAGTTTGTATACCTCTATTTCTATTATTCTATTCTTCTGATTTTTAAACTTGTGATTTAGTAAAAATATGTTGATATGTGCTACAATAATCCTCATAAATAAATCTAAAGGCACATTCCTGTATTTCTCTATTTTCTGGTATTACAATCACCACGAAAATGCCATACTATTGAACAATAATTAAGATTTGACATTATAAATGAATAGTAAATAGTAAGTCTACCTAATTTCGTTAATATTTTACCAATACGTTTACTGAAATACATGTAACTGTCTTGGTGCCTTATTGCAAATATTAGCAATATAAACATCAAACTTTAGCTGATAAACAATAGTTACACCAAGTTCACAATGTATGATATTGCCATCTAAATCAAAAGAAATGTTTTTATTTTCAGTTTTCTTGCCAATGGCTATTGCCTGAAACTTATCAGGGTTGGCCTTCATATGACTTAAACCATTTAAAAACTCTAAGCTTTCTTTTTTCAAAAATATTTACAACAGTGTCTATATTAGAATGTGAATGTGACAAATTATTATCATCTGCATACTTATATCATGAGCTGCTTGATACAAAATGAAAACTACCTTTCAAGAAAATATTAAAAAGTACGAGTCCTAATATAGAGCCTTGCGGACCACCTGTATATATTTTTTCCAAGAACTTATATCGCTACCAACTTTTACATTGTTTTCTTTTCTTAAATAGCTATCTATCAAGCTTGTAGCCAATTCAGACAATCGTTATGCCTGCACTTTCAAAATAAATAAATAATGAGAAGGCAATCGAAGGCTCTCGAGGGGTCCATCAACACAGCAGTAATATATTGATTATTAACAATTATAGCCTTTTTCCAATCCTCAATAATTTGTTGAAATGCTGACTGGCAGGCTAGTGGCAGCCATATCGTGCTCTAAAGGTAGATAAAGATGGGTGAAATATATTTTGAAAGAAATCAACTAGCTGCCGGAAGATGGCTCTCTCGAAAAACCTATTGTCACAACAGGTAAAATATTGACTGGCCTATAGTTACCAACTTCGAGATTACTCTTTTTCTTGAAAAGTGGCACAACTTGGGCCTCTTTTAGTTTGTCAGGAAATACATAGTGCTATATCGATTTCTTTATTAAATTTGTAATTGGTGTCACAATGGTTTTGTCAATTTCAAAATTTTAACGGATAAGCCTTGTCGCTTTGCCGGTTGCTTTATTTAGTTTGTTTATTTGTTTCCCTTCGAAGTTTTCTTGTATACAATTAAATATGGCCAAGATCAGTCATTATGTGTTAATATATCTTTTTAACCTATCACATGCGTGCAAGTCAGTTAACAATTTTAAAATATTGACACAAAAGATACAACTCATATTACGATTAGTTTCATATATCATTTCAGGATATAGAATTAATACGCTCATTTTACTCTTCCCTTTTCATTTCATTTCAAGAAATAGGGTCAATTTCCTCTGAATTTATTTCAGAACATTGCTTTTTTCGAAAGGTTTAATCCACCATTTTCTACATAAGGAATTGCCTGCAACAAGTCAGGAATATGACAGTTGTTTTCCATTCGTTTGATATGTTTGGACTTTTGATTTTGCCATTGGATAAGGGACTTTCCGTTTTGTATTTTCCTTGCAGTTCGGTATTTTTGTTATTTTACTTTTTTCAATATTTATCTAAAAATTAAGCCTAATATGGGGACTGTGAGGTTATAACAATATTATGGCTTACTTGTTTTTAAACAGATGATCAAGTTAAAACGCCTGAAGATAACTTAAAATCACACGTTTGACTAAATTATGCAAACTTTTTGTAATTATTCAGAAAAAGAATGAAGAAGACTTCTTTACCAAAACCAAAGTTTTCTTTCAAGTAAAGTTTAATATTCCTTTTTGGTATATGTTATTTCTATTTTGCTAGTGACGTTCTAAGATACAATAATTTATTAAGTTTGCATTTTTGTATCAAAATTTACCGCTGACTTGCAATTTGAAACATTTGCTATACATCGTCATGGAATAGGAGTTTCTTTATAATATTAGTCCCAAATGGAAGAAATATTCAGTAATATTATTTCCCCTGGGAGAAATATTACAGCAATAGTTCCTAACGGAATAAAGGGTACATAAGAATATTTGTTCGAACAGGAACAGACTCTATTTTCTTTTTCTTTTTTTTTTATTCTTTTTTTTTTTTTTTGGCCAGAAATTCAGACGAGGCAATTCTGCTCAATGGTAGTTACGGCCCTGTGACATGATGATATATTATAGCATTGCGTATAACAAAGTTCCCAGAGGAATAAATAAACGTTGATAACATCACAATCTGATTAAAATATAAATCTCTGATTTCGTTATCCTAAAGTTAATATAGATCAGAATTTTAATCTGATTTATAACATCAGTACAAATATATATGATCACCATTTGTTTTCTTCAATGGTTTCACTATATACAGATCTGCATATCATTCTTAATTGGAGAATATAGTGTGTTCATAATTTGACAATTTTGGTTTTTATCGTAGTTAGATAATTCGTCATAATTGTCATAATCTAAAGAACTTCTAATAAATTCATTTTTCATTCACCAAAAAAGAAATGGAATTGCGTCATTGATTTGTTTTGATGTACACTTTTTGAAATATTACCCAGGGTACTATAAAATTAAATAAGGGTATATAGTACAATGTGTAACGGTATTAGTGCCTTGTCTGAAATGTGAAGGTAGGGGCAATAATCTGATTGTATTAAATCAAGTACGAGACGCAATTTTAAGAATTTCCGTTCGTTTAAAAGTACAATATAGAAATGCAGATGTATTTGTCATTCGACTGCTTATATCTCTTCAAGACATTTATGAATATCATAGTTTTATCTTAAAAGTTATATTTGATGTCCCGGACTTAATATTAATTCGCCTATGTAATGTCAATTACCTTTTCGTTGACCAAAATGTCAAAAAAATGTATAGGTCATGTGTATGTTGGGATTTTGTGTCATGATTTAATACAGCATAGCCTTTCTTTTCCATTATAATAAAAAGCAAAGTAAAATCTAAATTAAATTCACCTCTAGCTTTTTTATCTGTTTGACATTTGATAGCAAAATCAGATTAGAAAAGCCCTTTATCGAACATTGTTAAGTACACAACACATCTTTACTGCAACTATCGATGAACTCTTGTCTTTTACGATGTAAATTAATCATACGGTACACTTTTTGATTAAACTTTTTGATTTGCCAACTTTTAAATGTTTGCATGTATTGATTACATGAAATGTATGAGTTCCGAATAGTTGGGAAAATGTACGAAAAGTAAGTTTCATTATTAGGAATACATATGATATACTTATAAAGATTATAATGTCATTTCAGAACAAGAGACAACTGAGACTAAAATTGTTAGAACTATTAAGATATGAGACTAGAATGAACAGCATACAACGGGGGATTATTCTTTCTTGTTTATATGGAATATTTGTCCTGTGTATGTTTCTCAACTTAAATGTTGATTTCTTGAACAACGATATACAAACAAATGGTGCATTTAAAAGAATGCAGTTACTGCAAAGTGCTGAATCACCAAACATTAGTATCACTACTAACCGTATGTACAACCATAATTCACTGTTCAGTAAACAGATATGTCTAGGTAAAGGCCTTGGACCAGATGGACAAACAAAGATCAATAAACTTTTAGATTTTCGCAAAACGGTACGTACAAATAGTTTCATTTCCAAAACGGTACGTACAAATAGTATCATTTCTCAAAACGGTATGTACAAATAGTATCATTTCTTAAAACGGTATATGTGTACAAATAGTAACATTTCTCAAACGGTATGTACAAATACTATTATTTCTCAAAACGGTATACATGTACAATAGTATCATTTCTCAAAACAGTATGTACAAATAGTATTATTTCTCAAAACGGTTCGTACAAATAGTTTCAAATTCTCAAAACGGTATACATGTACAAAAAGTATCATTTCTCAAAACGGTATGTACAAATAGTATCACTTCAAGTCCAAAACGGAACGTACAAATAGTATCATTTCTCAAAACGGTATGTGCAAATAGTATCATTACTCAAAACGGTATACGTGTACACGTAGTATCATTTCTCAAAATGGTCTGTACAAATAGTATCATTTCTCAAAACAGTATACGTGTACAAATAGTATCATTCCCAAAATGGTATGTACAAATAGTTTCATTTCCAAAACGGTATGTACAAATAGTATCATTTCCGAAACGGTATGTACAAATAATATCATTTCCAAAATGGTATGTACAAATAGTATTATTTCTCAGAACGATATACAAATAGTATCATTTCTCAAAACGGTACGTGCAAACAGTATCAAATTCTCAAAACGGTATACATGTACAAATAGTATCATTTCTCAAAACGGTACGTGCAAATAGTTTCATTTCTCAAAGAAAACAATTTAAGCATAAGACGTCTTGTCGTTTTTTTATCTTCATCGTTTCTTTATTGCATAATTATGAATTGTTGTTTACAGTCATTCAGCATGTTTATCTTAATTCCATGACTTTGGTAGGCGATGTGGCTTATAGGGCAATCCTCCTTATGGAATCAATCAAAAGTTTCCACTGGCTGTTACATTTTCATGATAATTTTATACTTTTTTTTCTTTAAACTGAACCTACCTCACTACTACATGCCAAAACTAGATCCCAATTATATGTAATACTAATACAAATAACCGTTGGTTAATTAGTTCCAGTGTCGATGATACAAATCTTGTTTCATATCAAACTCACGTGCATAGGCATGTTCAAATAAACCTATCACAGATACAGAGATTAGAATTTTGTACGCCAGACGCGCGTTTTGTCTACAAAAAAAAACATCATTGACACTCACATCAATAATGTTTCAAAGGTCAAATAAAGTGCAAAGTTGAAGAGCATTAAGGACTTTGAAGAATAATTATTCTTTTATTTATTTCAGGGTCCTTTTAGGTTTTTTAAAAATTACAGGAATCCTTGTTTTTATCGTAATGTGACATACTTGGGTGGTAAGGAATTGAAGACGCCGACGCTTACTATTCGCTGTCTCCCTTACTTTTTCATTGTTGGTATGCCAAAAAGTGGTACTACAGATGTCTGGCACGGGTTAGAGCAACACCCAGGAGTTGTCATCAGACACGGAAAAGAACCTATGTACTTTACCAGGAGGCGTTATCCAAGAGGTTGTGGAAATGGACATATTTTTTTTTTTATTTTCAAATATTGAAAATTTTGCTTTAAATACATTCGGCCCCGACATTTCATCTTTTATGTAAAAGGGCAGGCATGGATTTTTTAAAAATTAAATTGTTTGATTCTACATTTCTTGAAAACACTTATACATGTATATGTTTCAGAGGGGAAGTGAACAAAATCCATGCTCCACAAAAAATGAATAATCGGTACCTTTTAACAGACATTTTTTTTTTTTGTAAATAAGATGCATTTGACCTCAACAGACCCTTTTAAAGATGTGACTGCGCTCTGTTGATTTTTTATCTCTTTTAAATATTCATTCACTTACCAACTTATTAGACATAAGTGGGAAAAAAGTTCATTTTATAAACTGTTAAAGCCTTATTTCAACGATAAAATAGAATAACAAACTTGTGTCAATGTTATTGTGTTGAAAGGGCTTATTTTTTACTTTCATCTGTTGCGAGATAGGAACATGTGCTACTTGTATATACGTGCATATCATATATAATGACTGGATAAAATCAATTTTGTATAGACCAGAGTTCATTCATCTTTAGATTATTAATATGAAATTACCAAACATCTGAAAATAACAATTAGATGACACATTTTCAACTTTCCGATGTCAGTTTTTCTCTTCTAATTGATAATTAATTAGTATTTGTGGTGATTAATTTCTATTTTTATTATTGTAACAGCAAATTGGAGTCTAGATCAGTACTTAGACCATTTTGACGTTGCAGCTGATATAATTAAATCAACACCATCACCAGACAAATGGACAAATGATGACTTGTATTACTTCCTGGTTACAGGTTTGTCTTTATAGGAATACTCTTTGCTTTTGATTATGAAAAAATTAAGAATAAATAACATGGTTTTTTTCTCACTCTTTGAACATTTCTTAGAACTTATATATGCTTTTAAATTGTAAATTTTACCTACAATACAAGTATTGTTTAGTGAATTGCTCTATTTGTGCTGATTTTTATTAAACGTTCTTTTGCCTACCTTTATTATTCCATGCACTGGTCGAGATTTAAAAAGGAAGGACGAGTTTTGAAAAAAAAACACTTGTCACGCAATATGTTTATTGCCTGTCCGAAGTCAGGAACTTTTGTTATATCTTAATGTTTTGGGTTTTTGTCATTTAGGATATTTGGTATTGATGACATCTTTGATATTCAAAACTTTCTAGTCACATAATAAAATAGAGCTTGGCACTTTTCATAGGACTTGTCCATTGTTGAAAGACCATGTGTTAACCTATGATAACCAGGTTATATAAAACCTTTTACAGGCGAAGGTACAGTTGACGTGTCACATGACAACGACAGATGGCAGGAAATCGCTGGGAATAAAGATTGCAACGAACCTCGTATTTTAAACGCTCATTACCTTTACCATTTGAATCCGAACATGAAACTTATATTTATGATGAGGGATCCAGTTGATAGGTATGACAACTAAGTTGTACATGCAGTTTGAACGAACAAGATAGAATTGTTCGAAACTACTTTATATTAAGTCTAAAGAGACGTTGGGTGACTGCCAGGACAAGAAAATTGACAGCTATAGATTGTATTTGATTTGCAATACATAAAAAAGGATAACAGTAAATCATTGTACTGTACAATAGACCACTTCAACCACCAACATCCGACTCTTCCGGACAATTGACGTACAATTAAAGACAAACATCAACGAATAACAAACGCATGGTTTAAAATAATAGAAAAAACAAAGGATATGGGGTATTCATCCATGACACAAAATCAGTACATGTACAGCAAAAAAAAAAACACACACAAAAAGAAAGGAACAGCGCTTTTATTGCTTTTCTTCATCTCAAAGTCGATAAATAGTCTGACTCAGTATAGGGGACAAAACACGGTGGTATTAGAACCTCTTTCTTGTCCATATCTCGTAATAAATAGTCTGACTCAGTACAGGGGACAAAACACGGTGGTATTAGAACCTCTTTCTTGTCCATATTTCGTAATAAATAGTCTGACTCAGTATAGGGGACAAAACACGGTGGTATTAGAACCTCTTTCTTGCCCATATTCCGTAATAAATAGTCTGACTCAGTATAGGGGACAAAACACGGTGGTATTAGAACCTCTTTCTTGTCCATATTCCGTAATAAATAGTGTGACTCAGTATAGGGGACAAAACACGGTGGTATTAGAACCTCTTTCTTGCCCATATTTCGTAATAAATAGTCTGACTCAGTATAGGGGACAAAACACAGTGGTATTAGAACCTCTTTCTGGCCCATATTCCGTAATAAATAATCTGACTCAGTATAGGGGACAAAACACGGTGGTATAAGAACCTCTTTCTTGTCCATATTCCGTAATAAATAATCTGACTCAGTATAGGGGACAAAACACGGTGGTATTAGAACCTCTTTCTTGAGTCTGACTCAGTAAAGGGGACAAAACACGGTGGTAGTAGAACCTCTTTCTTGCCCATATTCCGTAATAAATAATCTGACTCAGTATAGGGGACAAAACACGGTGGTATTAGAACCTCTTTCTTGCCCATATTCCGTAATAAATAATCTGACTCAGTATAGGGGACAAAACACGGTGGTATTAAAACCTCTTTCTTGTCCATATTCCGTAATAAATAGTCTGACTCAGTATAGGGGACAAAACACGGTGGTATTAGAACCTCTTTCTTGCCCATATTCCGTAATAAATAGTCTGACTCAGTATAGGGGACAAAACACGGTGGTATTAGAACCTCTTTCTTGAGTCTGACTCGGTATAGGGGACAAATCACGGTGGTATTAGAACCTCTTTCTTGAGTCTGACTCAGTATAGGGGACAAAACACGGTGGTATTAGAACCTCTTTCTTGAGTCTGACTCAGTATAGGGGACAAAACACGGTGGTATTAGAACCTCTTTCTTGTCCATATTTCGTAATAAATAGTCTGACTCAGTATAGGGGACAAAACACGGTGGTATTAGAACCTCTTTCTTGTCCATATTCCGTAATAAATAGTCTGACTCAGTATAGGGGACAAAACACGGTGGTATTAGAACCTCTTTCTTGCCCATATTCCGTAATAAATAATCTGACTAAGTATAGGGGACAAAACACGGTGGTATTAGAACCTCTTTCTTGAGTCTGACTCAGTAAAGGGGACAAAACACGGTGGTAGTAGAACCTCTTTCTTGCCCATATTCCGTAATAAATAATCTGACTCAGTATAGGGGACAAAACACGGTGGTATTAGAACCGCTTTCTTGTACATATTCCGTAATAAATAGTCTGACTCAGTATAGGGGACAAAACACGGTGGTATTAGAACCTCTTTCTTGCCCATATTCCGTAATAAATAGTCTGACTCAGTATAGGGGACAAAACACGGTGGTATTAGAACCTCTTTCTTGTACATATCTCGTAATAAATAATCTGACTCAGTATAGGGGACAAAACACGGTGGTATAAGAACCTCTTTCTTGAGTCTGACTCAGTTTAGGGGACAAAACACGGTGGTATTAGAACCTCTTTCTTGTCCATATTCCGTAATAAATAGTCTGACTCAGTATAGGGGACAAAACACGGTGGTATTAGAACCTCTTTCTTGTCCATATTCCGTAATAAATAGTCTGACTCAGTATAGGGGACAAAACACGGTGGTAGTAGAACCTCTTTCTTGCCCATATTCCGTAATAAATAATCTGACTCAGTATAGGGGACAAAACACGGTGGTATTAGAACCTCTTTCTTGTCCATATTCCGTAATAAATAGTCTGACTCAGTATAGGGGACAAAACACGGTGGTATTAGAACCTCTTTCTTGTACATATCTCGTAATAAATAATCTGACTCAGTATAGGGGACAAAACACGGTGGTATAAGAACCTCTTTCTTGAGTCTGACTCAGTTTAGGGGACAAAACACGGTGGTATTAGAACCTCTTTCTTGTCCATATTCCGTAATAAATAGTCTGACTCAGTATAGGGGACAAAACACGGTGGTATTAGAACCTCTTTCTTGTCCATATTCCGTAATAAATAGTCTGACTCAGTATAGGGGACAAAACACGGTGGTAGTAGAACCTCTTTCTTGCCCATATTCCGTAATAAATAATCTGACTCAGTATAGGGGACAAAACACGGTGGTATTAGAACCTCTTTCTTGTCCATATTCCGTAATAAATAGTCTGACTCAGTATAGGGGACAAAACACGGTGGTATTAGAACCTCTTTCTTGTACATATTCCGTAATAAATAGTCTGATTCAGTATAGGGGACAAAACACGGTGGTATTAGAACCTCTTTCTTGCCCATATTCCGTAATAAATAGTTTGACTCAGTATAGGGGACAAAACACGGTGGTATTAGAACCTCTTTCTTGTCCATATCTCGTAATAAATACTGTAAATTCATAAATTATTGCGTGCATTTATTATTGCGATTTTTGAAGATTGAACAAGAATGCGAGTTTAATTATTGCGGATTTAGGAAAAGCTACATACAGATATATATAGATATATATATATATATGTTTGAATGCGAGTTCTTATTATTGCGATACTCAAGAAGTCGCATTATTCGCATTAATAAAAACCTCGCAATAATTTCTGAATTTACAGTAATCTGACTCAGTATAGGGGACAAAACACGGTGGTATAAGAACCTCTTTCTTGTCTATATTTCGTAATAAATAGTCTGACTCAGTATAGGGGACAAACACGGTGCATGGTATTAGAACCTCTTTTTTGTCCATATTCCGTTATAAATAATCTGACTCAGTATAGGGGACAAAACACGGTGGTATTAGAACCTCTTTCTTGTCCATATTTCGTAATAAATAGTCTGACTCAGTATAGGGGACAAAACACGGTGGTATTAGAACCTCTTTCTTGCCCATATTCCGTAATGAATAATCTGACTCAGTATAGGGGACAAAACACGGTGGTATAAGAACCTCTTTCTTGAGTCTGACTCAGTATAGGGGACAAAACACGGTGGTATTAGAACCTCTTTCTTGAGTCTGACTCAGTATAGGGGACAAAACACGGTGGTATTAGAACCTCTTTCTTGAGTCTGACTCAGTATAGAGGACGAAACACGGTGGTATTAGAACCTCTTTCTTGTCCATATTTCGTAATAAATAGTCGGACTTAGTATAGGGGACAAAACACGGTGGTATTAGAACCTCTTTCTTGTCCATATTTCGTAATAAATAGTCTGACTTAGTATAGGGGACAAAACACGGGTGGTATTAGAACCTCTTTCTTGTCCATATTCCGTAATAAATAGTCTGAGTCAGTATAGGGGACAAAACACGGTGATATTAGAACCTCTTTCTTGTCCATATTTCGTAATAAATAGTCTGACTTAGTATAGGGGACAAAACACGGTGGTATTAGAACCTCTTTCTTGTCCATATTCCGTAATAAATAGTCTGAGTCAGTATAGGGGACAAAACACGGTGGTATTAGAACCTCTTTCTTGTCCATATTTCGTAATAAATTGTCTGACTCAGTATAGGGGACAAAACACGGTGGTATTAGAAAATCTTTCTTGAGTCTGACTCAGTATAGGGGACAAAACACGGTGGTATTAGAACCTCTTTCTTGTCCATATTTCGTAATAAATAGTCTGACTCAGTATAGGGGACAAAACACGGTGGTATTAGAATCTCTTTCTTGTCCATATTCCGTAATAAATAGTCTGACTCAGTATAGGGGACAAAACACGGGGGTATTAGAACCTCTTTCTTGTTCATATTTCGTAATAAATAATCTGACTCAGTATAGGGGACAAAACACGGGGGTATTAGAATCTCTTTCTTGTCCATATTCCGTAATAAATAGTCTGAGTCAGTATAGGGGACAAAACACGGTGGTATTAGAACCTCTTTCTTGTCCATATTTCGTCTACCACAATGACATCTCCATATTTTATATTAATTCGGAAATATTCTATCTCGTCAATAAAGTAAACATAGTCATTTGCTCTCTGGTGGAGAGTTGACTCATTGGCCAACATACCACATCTTCTTATTTTATATAGGGAGATCTTTAATAGATTTAATGAATACTGGTGTTGCATTTAATTTCGTTTAGTTATGTTTGATCATGTTTTGAGTGGTAGAAATAATTTTGCTTATCCGTCAAAACTAAATATCAATACGCAGCTACAACTAAAAGAGATAGCAAACTGGGGATATAGTTTGTGTTAAAGTTAAATGGTTGTAGTTTATAGATCATAATACATCATACTGATTTCTGTTAATTGCAAATGTATGTGATATTCGGCTGTTGTCTGCTCTATGGTCGGGTTGTTGTCTCTTCGATACATTCCCCATTTCCATTCTCAATTTTATTATGAATTAAAGCTAATAACTTAAATTCATAAAAATCTTTCTATTTCCTGCATCTGCATAATAAAAATGAATTGAATAGTCCAAAAACATAGTTACATGCTTGCATGTGTTTAGGTTTGAACGTTGTTTTCAATTTAGACTTGTATATATATCTCTGATACATACTTTCTAGAATATTTCAAACGAGAAAAACCAACGGCCCGATTTATGACAAAACAATTAACGAAGAACAAATATGACAGACAGCAACCAAGAACAACCACTGAATCACAGGCTCCTGACTTGGCCAGGCGCTTGAAGAATGTGGAGAGGTTAAACATGTTTGTGAGTGCTCAACACATCCCCTTTAACCTGGAAAAGTGGTGTAACAGTACAACATACATAGTATATTGTGCCTACACTTGCAGAAACACGACTTAATAGCTTCAAAGCAACAAAATAATCCAAATCTTGCTAACCCTTTCGGAGCAACTGACTAGCACCCCTGTTCATCATGGGTTTCATGTTGCTCAGTCTATGTTGTGTTTTGTTTACTGTGATTTGTCATTTGATCGTTTTCGTTTGATTTCTTTTTTTTTATTTTTGCCATGGCATTGTCAGCTTGTTTTCGGTTTATGAGTTTGAATATCCATTTTGGTGTCTTTCGCTTCTCTGTTTCTTAACTCGTGAATTCTACATCAATAGACCTTCGTTAGTTGGATTACATATGTTGATCTTAAGGAAAATTTCTTTGTCGAAACTGTAATCGTATAGTGTTTTTTTTTGTTTTTTTTTTTTTGTATGTTACATACACTGGTTTTAATGTCAAATTGTAGGTCTACGAAACATTTCATAATTAGTTTCCCAATCACTATACATGTATAAAATAATTTTAGAGTATGCATTTTACTCGTTTCCCAATGTAAAGTTTAACTACCTTCGACACGACATTTACTACAATACCACTCTCATCTTGTAAGGGGGCAAAACTCAAAACTAAGGCTGCAATACACTTTGGGTGTAGAAACCGAGAGAGTCCCTCCAAAAATTGGTTGTAAAATTTGTATGAAATTATATGTATGTTAATTAGCAACGTTTTCAACAATAACTGTGCACTCTTTTTTCAGGGTATATTCTGACTATTTATACGAATCTCAGTTTTTCGGATATAATAAAACGGTAGAAGATTTCCATCTTGCAGTTCTTGAATCCATGACTAAACATATGTTATGCCGAAAACATTACACAGAAAGAAGTTGTGCTTACAATTCGTCATTAGAATCATTTAAGGTACAAAACTGTAATTGATTTATACATTATCTATCCGCTTCCTTGCACTTAAAGGACCTTCAATTGATTGATTGTTCTTTACGCCCTGTGGCAAATATTTCATGCCTGGTTAGGTCGAGAACAAATTAACAATAAATTTAATATGTTTATCTTGTAATAGCGGTCAACTGGAATGAGGGACTAAAAATGAGTAAATGCCACTGGAACATGAGGGTATACTTGATAGGGACAGACATTTGGTCTTGCAACAAGCCACCTACTGACTTACCGAAGAGTTGTTGCAAGGGCTCTTTCGTGCAGAGAACGTGGCACTCTCTTTAAACACGGCATTTAACGTCCCCATTTTGACCAGACGTGGCTTCGTATTCAAACATCCCAAACGAACGGCCCACTTTGGCAAGTGTTTTACTGCCTGTCAGAAGAAGACCAAAGGTTACCATATTTCTTTTACCTATGGTCACTCTTTTTTTTCATTTTTCAGTTCAAATTAATTACAGGTAACATTTTTATTCATATGAATTTCGAGTGTAATTTTCCTGAAATTATAATATTTCTAAAATGTTACTTTTGGCAAAAAAGAGAGAGAAATATGCGATGCTGCTTCTTTTCATAATGTGTTCAAATAAACATCATAATAACAGGGACAGGCTTCATTATCTCGAATAGAGGGTGTATAGTGCGTGGTCAAAGGCTGTTTCTTTTATATGCTTATAGTTGATATAAATCCGCGGGAAACCGTATCTCCTCAGACACGTTGAAGGAAATCGTGTGATTGAATTTTAACCGATTTGTTTCATATAAAAAATATTGGAAGTTTCTTATGATCACTGTCGCATAATTTTTGAATTTCTAATTTTCAAGACACCATACTCTAGTTATCTAATCTGATATTTTGACGTCAAAATGTTACATTAGACACAAAGAAAGTGTCATAGTCAACAACCTTGTGACTACTTTATCTTGCAGGCTCGTTTAAGAGTAGGAATGTATCATGTATTTTTAGAAGATTGGTATAGAGTCTTTCCAAAAGAACAAGTAATGGTAATCAAATTTGAGGAATATATGCGAAATCGTATTAAGTACTTGAAAGAAGTGTTCAAATTTTTGAAATTGAGTAAGTATATACTAAGTATACATTCTAGGGATGTTTATGCATTCAAAAGCAGGTTGTAAAACTATTTTCGTCGGTCATTTAGTTAGTCATGATATAAGGGTTGTGGTGGGGAATTATTTCATCTCTAATATACAATCACAAAAAGAACAATGAGTTTGAATAAAAGGATATGTTGTGTAAACGTCAAGTACAGAGCAATCTAACGACAGATATGAGGGTGTGGATGGGGGTTTACAGAATAGAGAATAATTGGCAAAAAATATATAAAAGAATAGAGAAAAATGGACCAAAAAATAAAGAATAGAGAATAATGAGCAAAAAGTATATAAAAAAAATTAGAAAAATGGACTTAAAAATTAAGGAATACAGAAATGGAGGACCCCCAATCCAGGCCTTCAGATATATAACCAAAAGGCAACTGGAGGGAAACAAAAGATATAACCAAAAGAAAACCTGGAGGACAACGTACTGTCTTCAACAACATACTGGTGTCTATACAATATTTCATTATCTAAATCATCCCGAATCTATACAAGTTGTGAATATTAACACAATTGCATTCACAAATTGTGCATAAGCCAAAATGGTACATGACAGCATTTCAAATGTAAATTATCATAAATATAAATTATATTCGTTGCATAGAGAAAAAAATTATTATTTTTCCCCATCAATTTTAGGACCAATATCAGTAGTCGAAGAGAAAAAACAAAGAAAACGAAGCATATCAAATACAAGAAGTAAAGAAGACCGGCAGATTGGAGACATGTTGAAGAAAACTAGAATTTTATTGCAAGAATTTTATTATCCTTTTAATAAACACTTGTCAATTTTACTACAGGATAATAAATACATGTGGGGTAGCTGACAGGAATGATCAGTATTGTGTTCACGCTGCATGGGAACATTCAGTATAAAAACAAATTCACTTCTACAAGTAAACTTAAAAGACTTTGTGAAATTAATGAATTGCACAATAGTATGTGAGCTGTGTGATATAAAGCTTTGAGTTTGATTGGATTTATCAAAACGTGAAATTTAACAAGTTAAAATCTAACAGGTATTTGGGTTAACATATTTTACATACATATTGTAAATGTATTTGAAGTCATGATATTCATATTGAAAGTTATAATTAGATAATAAAGAACATTTAGAATGTTGAACATTCATTCGTATTTTACAAAAAAATTACCAAAAAGGTGCATATCTATAGACTTGCTGACACCAAAGAGGAGTTTTCCTTATTTATTTTTTTTTTGTGGCAAAAAACGCTATTCTAAAGAATATGTTGACTTGATTCTTTTATTCCTGTTTTGTTTTAGGATTATAAGAATTCGTTTTAATATAGCTATGTGATTCTGAGACTACTATAACACAGTGTTATAGTAGTCTCAGTGTGATTTAAGTTATTCTATTTATGTTCAATAAAATTTATTCTTTTAATTGTTCATTAATTTTACATTTAAAAAAGAAATGGGTTTCGACATCTAATACATCACAATAATGTGTACTTAAGTCTTAAATCTGTGGGACTTTTCCTGTATCAGCCAGTTTCTATTAAAAAAACAGTGGTCAGATCATTTGTTCAAATTATACTAATTAATTGCCTATGTTCAAAGTTTTGGAAAAGAAGGTATGTTTCAAAACTATCTGGGATTATTATAGTATAATAGTCCCAGCTTTTAAATGCATTTCAGAGTTTAGTCGTGGCGTTGGGTAGCTGTAGTATTTGTATATTATTGGTTTATTACCAACATTTTTTTATGTGCAATGTATAAAGTCAAGGCTTGGCATATGTATAAAGACTAGGCTTTTATTAAAACCGGTAAGTGGACTTTTAAGAACGTGCATATTGCGTGAAGGTTGATTGTTACTTTTAAATACTCAGTAATCCGTAGTGAAATATTTTATTAAAGAATAAAGTTTTTTATGTGTATCAAACCTGGGACTACTATGTTGTCTTGGTTCCAAATTAAACAACGTAATAAAGATCTACAATTGCCATGTCAGAGCATCAGAAAACGCATCTAACATTAAAGTTTCATAAGATGTCATTATGTGTATTCAATCCTCGTATTTCGCTTCGTTTCTGAATTGAGTCGGCAGCTGGAAGACTTGGTTTTTTCTCTCACCTGTCTTGTGAATGGATGTGGTATGTGGTCGGATGTAATTGATTTTCACCAGAGACATATAATACAATTATATGTCTCTGTTTTAACCAAGAAAAAGCGTTAAATTCACTATGAACTCTGCTCAACTGGTTTAAATTACGTGATATCTCTTTGGCTCAGGAAACACTAGACTAGTACACATTTAAGAAGATGTGGGGAAGCCTTCTACAACAAAAAGTTGTTGGGTTCATTCTCTCTTTTTTCGAATCCATTTTTAATTTCAATCTTTGATTTAATTACACAGTATCACAGCCCCAATGTGTGTACTATAAAGATTAAAAAATATTTTTAAAGTATTGTTCATTTCTAGTTGTAATACCTTGTCATGTTTTTCTCAGTCAATACAGTTAAGATGAAGTTTATTTTTACATTAGTTTATCTTTTGAATTACATTTTTGTAAATAACGAATCAATAACGTCAAAGGAGGACATGCAATCCATATAAGAACTATGTGATCAATTGGAAAGCCAACATGATAACTAAATTTCCAAATAGGCAAAATAATTGAATCAGAATGAGTATATGCTATGGGTTCATGAAGGTTTTGTAGACTGTTGTTTGTCCATTTGTCGTTTTTTCTCTGTTTTCTTTTTGGCATTGATGTTGTCGGTTCCTTTTCGACTCATGAATTTTAAATTTCCAGTGTATTTCCAGTCTCATTTTTTGGAACTTAGGGTTATCTCTCTTTGTCCATCTTGTACCGACTTTCCAACGTCTTTTAAGAATCATGGCTGTGTGGTGTATATATATGTTACAGTTACAGTGAATTAATTTGTAAAATTAGGGATTATGCATAATCCCTGAAATTTTCAGGGATTCTGTAAAATCACTGGTAACTTCAGTGATTATATATAATTACCAAAATTTTCAGGAATTATGCATAATCACTAGAAAAAATGTCAGGGATTATACATAAAAACTGGAATGAAGAGACAATGAATAAAAGTAAAATAATTTATTCTATAAAATCATATTTAAACATCTTTAGAAACATGATTATTAAAATCTTGAGCACAATATTCTAATACAATTCATGTATTTTACTAACTACATTCTGAGACTACTATAACACTACAACTACTAACACATTATAGTAGTCTCAGCTACATTGTAAATTTGGATGACATCTACTGAGGGTCTGGATGGGGATACCTCATTTCTTTGTTCTTCAATTTTTGAGATAATTTTTCTCTATACTTTATCAGGAGTCCATTACTATGGATGGACTACGGACTTGATTTATTCTGCCTTTTATTCTCTATTCTGTATATTTTAGCACATTATTATTTTTTTCTATTTTTGTCTATTCTTTATCTTGCACTGTTTGCCCATTTTTCTCTTTTCTGTAAACCCCATCCAGACCCTTTACTAGTGAGCATTTGCTCTGCTTATCCTTTTTTTTGCAACCAAAAGTAAAAACAAAAAAACCCTTAGCCTTCACATATTGAATCTGATTTTAGTGCCCTTTGGAGAAAAATAAAGTGTTCATTAGAAACATCTGAAGGTGTTTAAACGTGTATATATATATATACTTGTCTAAACATGTGACAACTTTATGACAGACATTTTCCATCGTATAACACATGGTTATACAGGGTTAACACCATAGTATATATATATATATACATAAATTTTATAAAATTTGTCTCAAATTTAGCCCAACAATGTTAGATCTCCCTCAGAGGGATTCGAACCCTTGCTTTTATGACATCGTGGCAACAAGGCCTGCACCATGTCCAGTGTAGGCAGCGTTGCCACGATGTCACAAAAGCAAGGGTTTGAATCCTGCTGAGGGAGGAACAAAACTTTGCTAAAGCAAATTTGAAGATCTAACATTGTTGGGCTAAATTTGAGACGAATTATATATATTTTTTTAAATTAATTTATATATATATATATATATATATATATATATATGATGTCTAAAAATAGCAACAATCAACATCCAATCTATTTAGGCGTGGATCAATTTGTGAAAATAAACTGATACAGTTACTGAATTAAAATTATATAAATGTCTAAGAATATAACTTAATCACACTAATTAATACACGTTTTGAAGATCTGTGAAAGAGTAAAAGCGCTAGTAGATGTGATGAATTGAAACTGTTATCTTTTATCAAATTTCTTATAGAATAACACAACAAGCAAATAAAAATTAAAAAAACCCGGAAACACCCTCTAACTAATTACACAATCTGAAAGACTAATAATTATAAAAGGAAGATATACAACAAAACAACGATAACTAGATATCATTGAGATGGGAGCCATCTCTGTGGGCCCCACTGTGAATAACGTGTGGTAAAAAATTGGTATCTTTACCATAGGACATGGGGTTGTCAACTGAAACCATAGTTATTGACCTTGACCTTTGACCTTGGAAGTTGTACATAAATTATGACACACCCTCTGGTGTGGGTTTATATACATGTCAAGTATAAACTTTGAAATCAAAAAGGGTTCTCAAGATATAGAACGGACAAGATCTATACCATAGGACATGGGGTTGTTAACTGAAACCAAAATTTTTGACCTTGACATTTGACCTAGGAAGTTGTACATACATTATGACACACCCTCTGTTGTTGGTTAATATACATGTCAAGTATAAACTTTGAAATCATAATGGTTCTCTAGATATAGAGCGGACACAATTTGTTACGGACGGACGGACAGACTGATCACTATAGGGCGTCCACCATTCGGCGGGACCCTAATTAAACATGTAAACTGGTGTATATTTCTTATTACCAAAACTATGAATGCTTCTTTCAAAACCTCAAGTCTATCTTCATTCAGAAGTACGTCGATGGCCTGTAATTGTATTTCACCGATTTTGGGGGTTTTGTTGACATGTCCGGTGTGGCAATTCGACATCTGATGGTATTTGAAGTAAATAGGTGTAGATCTGTGTTTCTATTTACCATAGTTAAATTCCCTGTCTTGATGTATACATCTAGGTTAGGTTGTAACCAGTTATTTTTAGAAGAGATGACTGTTTCAAGTATTCTTTCAATCAAAGTGAGTTTAAATTACCACATTCATCTAGTAGTCTAACCTTTGTAGAGGTAGACATTGTCAATCCTAATTTGTTTAGTCTGGCAAACCCCTAAATTTAACAATTAATAAATCTAACAATCAAACAGTTATCATTCAAAAATATCTTAAACAACATATAATGAAATTGGTATAGGTAAGAGTGTGGTCAAATTTGGATTCAAACACCCCAATATTCTGACACTCTGTCGTAATAGAAAGTCATCTTCATTGAATAGGTGTTAATGTGCTATTATTTATACTTTTTATTCTGATCATTACTGTAGATCGGGTGTTTTCCGTCATCTTGGATTGTTAAATAGCAGAAAACAATCGTCCTGTAGATCTTTAATGAAATGTTCAAAATTTGAGAAAATAATTAAATTCATTTGTAAGAGTTTTCATCTAAATAAAAGAAATTTTGTGTTTTATCATGTTTTTACGACTGTTTTTTACAAATACAAAATATTAATGTTTGATTTAGTTTTTTTCAACTTTGCCATATTAGGGGAGATAACTGAAATAATGTATCTTTTATAAAGGAATGTGTTATGAATTCACACATTGTTTAGTAGCAATAAACCAAGTCCCGTGACCCCATTTTTACTTTTATATTTTCTGAAAGCATATTATAAGATGTATCTTCTCATATTTTATTCAAAAACTCTATGGTTTAGTATTTTTTTTACCACACAAAATTGGGGTTTCTATACACACTCTATACAAAATCTGACAATTTTGCTTAACCTGTAGCTTGAAAAAACCCTGTGACCCTTACTTTTTATTGTATCTTTGAAAAAAGCATTATATCAACTACATTTTGACATATTATTAAAAAAATCTATGGATTTTAATTTAGACCCCATCTACTTAATGACACAGAAAAGTAGCCAAATACTAGTGTCTGTTTTACATAAATATCTCCAGGAGATCTAGGATATATGTCAATGAGACAGCAACCAACAACAATAAAAATAAATTGAGAATGTGTCCATGGGACGCAGATGATGCCCCTCTTGCATATAACGTTATAATGGGACA